ATCACCCTGACAGATCTTGAGAACCAACATTTCATGAGAAAAACTTGCTATCCAATGCTCCCTCCTGATATATCCTCCTTTAGGATCGGATATTTTCCATCCTCGTAATTCTGGCGGGGCTTTCTAAAACAGAGTAATTCGCTTAGGCATCAAAATAGTACTGCAATTTCAAGCAATTCTATGTACCTTTAAAAGTGGTCCCTCGGCTCGCGTCGACAAGTCATAAATGTAATCCCTATCAATTCGACTAAGTCCTGATGAGCACAAACTGATGGTTTGATAGTGGTCTCCTACAAAATTTCCAAAGAACCATTTAATTGAAGAAGACTTTTATTAATAGTAATTCACTAAAAACAGTGACCGTTGGTTTAAAAGTTGTCCAAAAAATATCTTGGAGAAAATCACAGGTTTTACCATCTCGAACAGCCAGCTGGTAGGCAATTATATCATCCTTTCCTTTGTCGATAGCAACTACAGCCACATCCAATTCGTTGTCGCCAAGATAAGCTTTCAGCTTGAACCAGCCATTCTTGGTCATCCTTAAATAATCTTTCACGATAGTAACAGCGAAAAGTCTTTGATTCTAAAAAGCCGAACAAAAATTTGTTCAACCCCTATAAAACATTCTAGAGTAGAAAGAAAAGAATAAGGCAAATAGTAGGCTCTTTTTCATAGTTTCAGTGTTTCAAAGATGTAACTTATAACTGCTTTACGACTGATTATGGAAGAAGTCGTCGCTTAACAAAGTATTGCAGCGATTTGAGCAAGCCTTATTTAAGCTTTGATGTTACTTTTGTAGAGATCACATTGAATGCTAATTGGGAAATGGTTCTTGAAGTTGAATACTGGCTCAAAATTTAACCAGATAAATGCTTAGTAGATTACAATTTTGAAGATGAGAAGAATAACTATGATTTGCATATGCATTTGAAATTTCTCTAAAATATGCCGTCAAGGCCATCACCATAGATATTCTGACGGACATTCGTTCTACCTCTGCACTCTAATTGTTCTTACGGAATCTTAAAAGCTCCTCTGAATATCTGCTTCAAATAAAGCAAGTTGAAGAAGAGTATTAAAAAGATTTACCTGGTGCCCGGTTGATAAACCACATCCTTTCGCTTCACAACGATGCCCTCTTCACCAGCACCTAGCGCCTTTGAGAACAATTCCTCCAACTCTTCCCTAAATTCATTCAGCTCTCCAAGCTTCTTTAAAAATACTTGATATATACTTAGTGGTAACGGTTTTTCTCGGCGCTATAGCTATAGTGTCAATATGAGTATTATCCTTTAACACAGCAGCTTCCAGAGCACGAATACGTTGATGCAGTGGAGCATTCATTATAGATTTTCCATTCAAGTACAGTAAATCGAAGACAACCACTGCTGTAAGCATTCAGCTTAGGGACGTGGAGGTTTAACCCAAGAAAATGAGGGTAACTCACCAAGTTGTACATGATCTATAGGATCGATGTAGCGGAAAGAATGGCTCCGATATTCAGAATTTTGGGATTTGAACTGGCGACGGCCTGGAACATACAGACATTATCAACAGTCAAAAAGCCACAAATGTGGACATTTAGGGGAAATGAATATTCCGTAAAAGCGGGAGGAAAAAGAGTAGACCGTAAAATGGGACAAATTTATGGTAGATGTGCTTGCGTTTGAGATAATTTTGGACAACTCTCAAAGAAACTTTATATCGTATTACTCACATAGCTTCTTCAGCTTCTTGTCCCACAACATAAGTTCGCAATCAAGAACGCAATCGATGACAGTCGAGCGAAAAAACGGATGTATTCGGCCAGAGACAAGATCGGTAAGGGATGAGGATCCTCCATAATCCTATTGATAAAGACTGCATATAGTTGTAACAACAGCAAAAAGAGCACCTTTGTAAAATCTTTTCCATTCCTTGTGTACCATTTATACTGATCGCGAGCGATTTTGTGTAGTAGTACGTGCTCTCCATCATATTTTGTCTCCACAAAAAATTCATCGCCGCAGTTTTCCCTGATCTGAATATCAATATCAACCCGAAAATTGAACGTACCGTTACTATCAAAAGACTTACCACTTCCCACCAACCTTCTTTCGGCAACCGCGCCAGCAACATAGGCCGAAAATTAGCACCAAGCACGTCATTGTCGCTGGTCGCGGCAGTGACTTCCGACAAGTCGCGAGCCGCGTTCCAGCGCTTCACAGCTTCTGGCCCCAACCATGATAAGATGATATTAGTTGCCACGCCAATGGTGGACTAAATTCTACCCGTATAATAAGTGAGCGAAGGGATAATAACAATTTATAAAAACAATACCTCAACATGCTTGATCATTATAGTAAATATCCAAAATAGTTCCTCTTTCGAGCAGTTTTTGAAGAGGTACTGGAGGGCAGCGGTATCTGAACATGAAACAGTTTATTTATGCTATTTGAAACGAGATCCAGCTTCTCTCCATATTAGGTTAATACTAAGCTAATAATGAAACTCAAACGGAAAAGATTTGACGGTTAAATAACCGGCAAATCAGTCCCTATTCGGTAATAATTATGGTTAAGAAAAGTTTTCACATGCTTTCTGTTGATGAGACCGAAGTTTTGAAAATTGAATTCCCCTTTCTCAACACAAAAAAATGGACTTTGGATGATTGAGAACCATGTTTGGCTTTATTTGGCCATCCACAAGTAGTGTTCTTCATGTGAAAAACGAAACTTTCAATACAATAATAAATGATCTAAAAGAAAGAAATGAATTTCTCACCTGAACTCTCACTCATATTATCCAGTTTTGAATTGATTTCTGCTACTGATAAATAATCAAAGTCTTCTGGTGCAATTCGCGATGAGACTTCTGATGCTAAG